TAAATTTGAAAAATTGTATCAGACTGCAACATAAAAAAATTGAAAAAAGTGAAGGGGGTCTGAATACTTTCCGAATGCAATGTATATCCTAGATGTTCAACTTGATAAATTTTAGCTTGGGGCATTTTTTTTTTTCACGTGTCGGTTTGATTTATTTTTCTCCTATCTTTTTTTTGAAGGAACTGTCCATGTTTGATTTCAGCAAGTAACTTAAGAATCTAAATGCCTCTATCATCCTAAAGCAAAGTTTGTGTAGAATTCTAAATGGTGAGCATGTGATACTCTTATACCCCCTCTGCTGGCCACCATCATATAATAAAAACTCAGACTTACTCCCTTCCCTTTGGAGACTTCTGTTAACAGAATAGAGGGAAAGGTAGAAGAACTCTCTGATTTTAAAATTGCCATACAATGGCAAATTGGTAATGTTCCTTTTTGTATTCCCACTTCAGAAGAAGCATTCTAGACAAAATGTGTATCCTGTCTTAGCTTTCCCTGCAACCAAATATAACTGTTGTAAAACAAGAACAATGTCTGAGGAATTGTGAATGACTGGAATGTGGGTGCATGTTTCTCCTTGCTTAAGCTTCATGCTTCCATTAGAAGGAAATTCAGGGTAGCCCTGCAAGACTCTGTGCATATAGCTGTCAGTTAGTAGTTTATAGACTCTCCCCACCCCTTTCAAGCCACAAGGTAATTTCTGATAGGAAAATTAGCACTTTCTTCCTACTCCTTATTAAATAGAATTTATTTTTGTAATGTACATCTTCCACAGAATGCAAGATATACATTACACAATGCAATGTATAAACTTCATAGCCAAGATCTCTTAAACTTAACTGGAAAAAGTAATCCTTGTTATCAGTAGCCTCATTATCCATAGTTTCACTTATCTACAGTTGATAATTGCATGATCAGGCTCTATCTGAGCATTAGAGAAATGATTCCATCTTCTACAAATGAGGATTCTTTCTTGTAATTACTACTGTGTTACCCTCTGCTTGAAAATTCCCTCTAAATATTTGGTTTGCAGTTTTTACCCTGCAAGTTTGAGAAAGGTGGGCAATATGCAGTTCGTTCAGCAGTAGGTTTTTCTGTTCAGAGCTCATTAGTTTCACCAGAACTTATATATATCTTGTTGTTGTAGTGTATTTTAATTAATTAATTAATATTTTATTTTAATTAATATTCTGATTTTATTGTAAACCGCCCAGGGCGCTCTGTAGTGAGATGGGTGGTGACAAATTTGAAATATAAATAAATAAATAAGGCTGGTAGAGAAACATGAGGGAAATCCGCTTGCTAAAAATTCTTTGCAACACCTATGAAGATGTGCTTACAGAAATTAGACCTCTGTTCATTCTCCCTAGGATCTTAGTGAACATCTATGAGAAAAAAGCCAATAATAACAAAAAATAATGAACAAGTCCTGGTGTCAAATTAAAGATATGTACTTTTCCAGCACTGCGTCACCAAGATCTTTATAGTTGGCTGCATGTTTTGTGTATTTATACATTCATGGGTTTTGCTAGATTTTTTCAAGGGGATTGCACAGTTTTGGAAATTGCAGAGTTTTGGAATCAAAAGTATATATATATATATATATGACTCAAAACTTTTCTGTTTTAAACCAGTTTACTTGTATTTTGAATACTAAATAAATTTGCACAAATAACAGCATAGCAAATATGAATATACATGTAGACAGGGTGTTTGTATCCAGTTAAAATGGAAACTTAAAGCTCTTCTGCCCTCACTTGTTCAGAGAAAATGTTCTCATTTATTTCCCTGAACGTTACCTTGCCTTTCTATGGGCTCATCCATATAGCTTGCTTTCCACACTGTAAAAATACCCCTTTTATCATTCACTGAGGATATGTCCTCACAGTGAAGCCACAGTCCCATGACCAGCCAATTGTGGAGATAAGTTGAAGTTGACAGAGATGTTCCTACAGGAACCTAGAATTCTCCATTCTGTATTAACAGAAGACTTCCCATGCAGATATTGTAGGTTGCATGGAGGAGGAGCCTTTGGAGGTCAGTGATAGTCCAATTGGCCTGCTGCAGGACTACCCCCTCTTGTCTTGTTGCTGGACATTTACAGCCAATTTTGCTGGCTGCCAAAGAGACTGGACTTTTCACTGGGGCAGTCTATTATTTCTTTTCCTCCTCCTCCTCCTCCTGTCATGGGAAT